AAGTAGAGACACTACATACTGATATACACCTGAACATCAGCAGGAGAGGACTCTTTAAAGTAGAGACACTACATACTGATATACACCTGAACATCAGCAGGAGAGGACTCTTTAAAGTAGAGACACTACATACTGATATACACCTGAACATCAGCAGGAGAGGACTCTTTAAAGTAGAGACACTACATACTGATATACACCTGAACATCAGCAGGAGAGGACTCTTTAAAGTAGAGACACTACATACTGATATACACCTGAACATCAGCAGGAGAGGACTCTTTAAAGTAGAGACACTACATACTGATATACACCTGAACATCAGCAGGAGAGGACTCTTTAATGTAGAGACACTAAATACTGATATACACCTAGAACATCAGCAGCAGGCGTGAACAACAGGAGATATAAGAGAGAAAGTTAATTTAATATGTGTTTCCCACCTGTAGATGTTCACAAACTGTTTGCCCATCGACAGAGCTCCAGAGTGCAAGTCCAGTATGGAGGCCTGCAAGGGACAAAAAGAGAGAAGCAGGAATATGTGAAAATTAATTGGACATATTTTAATGAGAAATTAATTCATTAATAGGTTATTTTTAACATTTTTGAGTCATTGTTTTGGAGTAAAAAGAAAATATATAAACTGGGCTCCAGCCACACTTTATTTAATATATTTTTTATTTATTTTCATTTTGTTTTATTTGTTTTCCTTTTTGCATTTAATTATTAATTTAACACTTTTTAGTTCATGCATTTATTGCTGTTTTGCAAATGTGTGTTCAAGTCGATACTGGTGGCAATATTATATTTAAAATACTCCCTTCTCTTATTCTGTAATCTCACAACACTAGTTAATTAAATGATATTAAATACTCTGTGTTTAAATACAGGTTTTTTACAATGTGTTCAATAGCGCCATCTAGTGGACACTGCTTCACACTGCTGTGGAAAGGACATTATTGAACAAAATGTGACTTTAAACCCTTTAAATTAATCAATCATTTATTTTTAAATAATAATAATAATGATGGTATAATAGAGGAAGGTTTTTCAGCATCTAATATTTAGTGAATTAATTTATTGGGGCTGCACAGTATATTTGTTGATGAGTACGTGTCTTTAATTGATGGTATTGTTTGTAAAAAGGTCAGATAATAACTTACAAAAACAACTATTTGTATCCTAAAAATTAAAGTACGGGGGAAGGAAAATCATCAAAAAGATCATGACTAGAATCAAATACAGATTATTTTGACCGTTTAATTTGTGGGTTGTACTCACCCCTCCCTCTGATCCAGCGAGAGCCAGCCCTCTCTCAGCCAGCCTGAGTGTAAAAGACAGAAAGTGACTCAAAAAGGTCGCACAGCGGGACAGAGGAGCTTTATTTGTTGAATATAAAGTGTTGTTTTACCTCTTGAGCGTCTCAGCCTCCTCCCGGGTCACAATGCTGTCTGTGACGGCCCGACCACACTTCAGAGGGGTGCATCCTGCAGGAGAGGAGACGCTTAATAACAGAAAGACTACGTGGAAGTGGAGTTCTGATCATTAATGCCTCAAAATGATAGGCCCTGAGACTACCCAACTTGCACTGTGCAAGCGCAAGTTATTCCTCCATGTTGGACAGCTACGTATGGCAACCCAAACAGGACATTTGACGTCCGCACTTTTGTTTCCTAGAAAATGTCCCTTTTCCAGGAATCTCAACAGAAAAGGTTCGTCCAGACTAATACATTTCTAATCTTAAATAAATGAAAACAATTCACAGTTAAGAATTAGATATTAATTATTAATGCCATAAATGATTGCATACATTTACAGTTTCTTATTGTTCCAGTGTGAAGGCTGTCAAACTAAAGTTAAATCCATTTCTCACTTATTCTAAGAATGACCTTAACCCACCAAAATGATTTCTCAAATAATCGGGAAACTACGTCTCAAAAACAACAAATAATCTCTCGTTCAGATTAATATTTACTTACTATTACTATTTCAAGCATACCATCGAGTGCCGCCGAAGGACTGTTCCAATCTCCAGCATACTTGGAATTCTACCGAGCCCGGCGTACTTCGTTTGGAGACATTTCGAGGCTGCACATGTGTAGACTCCGCGGTCTTAAAATCCCCACAATGCTTTGCGCACGGACCAATTTCCCCAAATCTGTGGCGGAAAATGTAAGGCGGAGCCTCTCATGTGACGCACACCTGCTCGCCTGTTCCACTCTTCGTTTTCCGAATGCCAGGAAGGATTCTTGCCTCGCTTCTGAAGCAAGTGACTCGGAAGACATGTGCTACCAAGCAAGCATCCTCAAGATTGAGAAACACCCCCAGCCTTAAACGCCTCCATTGGACTCCTTTGTTTACTTCCTGAATATGGTGGCATCACTACGTACCACTCCCACTTCTATTGGCTAGCACTCCAACACATTGAATAATAATAGTTTACATTTGTATAGCGCCTTTCAAGGGACCCAAGGCCGCTTTACATGCTGTGAACAAACAAACAAACAAACAAACAAACAAACAAGTAGGGCAAATAATAAAGTAAAACAGCTCTTGTTCTTCTTTTACCGCTCATTATGGCTACTTTAGTTTTATGGCAGATTTCACAGTAAATTAAAAGTAACAAATGTGTAGAAGCATCTTGCACACTTTTATAATTCATGTTTATATATATAATATATTCTGCTTCCCTCCACCTCACTGCACCCCCCTTCCGTTTAACCACCATGGGGTCTAGAGCCTTCAGCCGCTCTGCACCCCGCCCCTGGAACTCCCTCCCACCTGACATCCGCAACACTGACTCTCCCCCCATTTTCAAAACACATCTCTTCACACTCGCATATCCACCCTGATCATTATCCATCACACATCCTCTGTTTTATTCATTTGATTGATTTATATACTGCATGGTCTTGTTTATGTCTCTGATGCTGGTGTGATGTATTGTGTATCTTGTTTTTTATGTGTTTGTACGGCGACCTTGAGAGCCTTGAAAGGCCCCTATATAAAATAAATGCATTATTATTATTATTATTATATATCCCCTACATACAGTGTACGGTATATACTGTATGTAATATACTAATATGTTGGTTTATTACAGGGTATTCTAACTTATTGTTTGTAAAGTGTTTGTATTTGTTTGTGTATTTATTATAATAATAATAATAATAATAATAACTCTATATACACAACACTTTTCAAAACAACGTCACAAAGAACTTTAAATTATATTGTTTCTATGTAAGCATTTAGATACTCAATAAACTGTTGATTTGTACATAGTTACTGTTTAACCTAATATAATGTCATCATATTTTAATATATTGTATTTATTATATTATATTCATGTGTTGTAAACATGCTGCGGCAAAAAAACAGCGTTCTGTTTTGTGGTCTCTAAACTACATCTAATCTAATCTAATTGAATCCTGAAGGCTCGCACATGTCCGTAGCATCTGGAAACCTGAAGTCCCTTGAGCAACATCTCAACGTCTTCCTGCTCCACGGCTGCTAACTCAACTCGTCCCCATTCAGAGTCTGAAAAAAAGACAATTTCCTCGTGAATAAATAAAACATATCAAATCAAATATTCCCTTTCACTCCGGCGTCCCCGCCCTTCCTCTAGTTCCCTCATTGTTCTCCACGTCTCTACCATAGGTTAAGTAGGTCTGCCTCTTGGGTCGTGTCACATTAGATTAGTGATTAGTCTGTTCTGATCCAGTTTCTATCCGTCGTACTGCACAGTATGTATCACTCTTAATATAGCTCCATGTATAATTCAGAGGAACATCTGATCTGGGATGATGTGTCTCTGACATGTCTGATCTCATGATGTCGCACATGGAGGCTTTCATGAAGCTTCACTGATCTGCGGTGTGTGGAGAGCTGCAGGAATGAGTCCTCAAGCATTCGAGCTGCTTTCCTCCTTTTGAAGTCCATGGTTTTCGGGTTAGATGACTGAAATGCGATGAGTTGTTATCAAACACATTCTTACCTTTTTTTGTCACGGAAACTCGCGTAATGCTATCTTCATGCTTTGCTTACAAACAATAAGTTGATGCTGTTACGCTCTATAGGCACAAAAACTATTGCTTGTCTTCTTCTTGTGTTCTTTAAGATGAAAAAGCATGAGGTGCTCAGAGTGTATTCATGTTTCTTTGCATAGAAACACATCATAGATACTTGCCAGAAATTAAAATTCATCAACACAACCTGCAAAATATCATATAATTTTAGGTAATAATAACAACCAAATTGTAGAGTCCATGTTAGCTTAGCTTGCTAGCTACAACTGATACAAATCTGTTCGCGACAGCTGTCACTTCAGCTGCTCAAATCTCGAAGTAAGTCGACATTTGATGTTGCTTTTGTTTGAGATTAAGGACTTTAAAACGAACCAAGATATTGAAAAGGAACCATCATTAGCAACGTAAACAACACACAGGAACACAAAGCTCGACAAGTGTAGAAACAGAATCTAAGTGGGACGAGGCTAAGCTAACAGGCAACTATCAAACAAACACGAGTAAACACATGCTAAACATTGTTGTGCTTTAATCCTTCCCCCCCCCCCTCTCTTTCAGATCCTCACCCAGGAGGACTGGAACAAGGTGTTATATAACGGCATGTACTCCACCACTCCTGTAGCCGCGCTCTACTTCATCGCCCTCATGACCTTCGGGAACTACGTCCTCTTCAACCTGCTGGTGGCCATCCTGGTGGAGGGTTTCCAGACGGAGGTAAAATGTGGCTGCTCAACCTCTAACTAAACTAAATAGAGCTGAAATAACGCGGGAAAAGCTTCGTTTTCAGGGATATTCTGAATGAAAATCAGTCATAAAATTAAAAAACAAGAATTAAATCTATATGTTTAATCTTTTGTTGAATGCAGATCAACTTGTTGACATTGCTTATAGTTCTTACAACTCATTATATCTCTAAAAGGTGAGATTTTGAAACAAGTATTTTGCCCTGCTAGTTTATGTTTAAAAAGAGGCTGAAACTCGTGACTAAAAGACTCAAAGACGTGCTGTATTTTCTGTGCGAGCTCACAGAACACTAATGGATGTATTTTCCCGCCCATGCATACTTAACGATGTCATACAGTGTGTGCATTAACCTGTAGCTTAGCGCTCCTTGCACTCTCTGCGGCGGGTTATTTGAGGACATGAGAGCTCTCTTCATCTTCACCTCGCTGTCAGCCTCTTCTCCTCCCACTCGTTCCCACTTGAGCAGTCGTCCTCATTATTTATCTGCTTTCTCCCAATGAAGGCCACATCATGAGGAAACTATGTCTGCTCCACTCATCTTATTCTTGTTCTCTTTTTTTGTACCTGGTTTACTTTTTGTCTTATTTCAACCCAGTCTCACGGCATTTTGTGTTATAGTGACGAAATTAATTTAATCTATTGATTCGTGTTCACCAACAACATTTCCCCATTTCGTGTCACACAGAACGATTTTCAAAGCAATGTATTTCTATAGGTAGCATGTTTCGTGCCTGCACCACGTCTCTTAGTCCGGTCAGGTCTTGGAATACCAGAAGCTGTGTGGTTCATAAAAACATTTTCTTACTCAATATCTCACCCTATTGTATAATGTCGAATTTTCTTTTGCTGTCCGTGAGGAAAAGAAATGTCTCAGAGCCTCAGAATACTGAAATCTGTATTTAAAAAAAAAAAAAAAATTCCTTATTATTTGTTATTATTTAGTGCAGGCACGAAACATAGCCTACTACCAATAGAAATACATTGCTTCTAAAATCGTTCTTTGTCAGAATACTGAAATCTGTATTTTTTTAAATCTGTGTTTCCTTCTAATTTGTTATTATTTACATTGCTTTTAAAATCGCTCTGTGTGACACGAAAGAAATGGGGAAATCGTGCTGGTGAACACGAATCAATAAATTAATTTCGTGACTATAACATGAAATGCCGTGAGACTGTGTTGCTTATTTGTGCAGGTGTAAAGGTTGCAAAATCTGTGAAAGCTGTGCAATCCTTTTGTGAACTCACATCTCACTTTAGAAAAGCTGCTAATGACTGAGTAGGATTCAAAAGACAGAAACAAAAAGAAACAACAGGTGGCGATTAATGCTAATGCTAAGAAGCTAGGTTAGCTATCTGTCTTTTTCCCATTTCTCTTCTTGTCCCCCTTTTTTTTGTACATGGTTCATTTGTTGTCTTATTTGTGCTGTGCAGGTGTAAAGGTTGCAAAAGCTGTGCAATACTTTTGTGAATTCACTTCTCACTTCTCAGAAGCTGCTAATGACTCAACAAGTTTCAAACAACATAAACAAAAAGAAACAACAGGTGGCGATTAATGCTAATGCTAAGAAGCTAGGTGAGCTTGCTATAGCTAGCTGGCTTTTTCACAACGTAGTTCTTGTTCTTTTGGATTTCCGGTCTGCAGAATTTGAAGACTGTTGATCTGTTGTTTTTCAAACTCATTCTAAGACATACCCTGAGCAAAAGCTCGTAACGACTCA